AGAGATATAACCTTTGATGAATCCTCTATGTTACATTCTAGAAAAGAGTCGTCTAGTTCTTGTAATAGAGATGGAGGAAAGAGAACGCAAAAGCAAGTCGAGGTTGAGATTGGCATTCCTTCTGAGCCAAGCTCATCAACTTTGGAGCAAAATACATTTGAAACTCCTTAAGTTGAGCCAGAAGCTGAAATTTCTGAAGTTGAGACTCCTGAAGTTGAACCAGAAGAAGGGGAGTATTCTATATCCAAACATAGACCAAGAAGAGAAGGTAAACAACCATTAAGGTTTGGAGATTATATTGCATTTGCTTTTTCAGTTGCACAGAAAACTGAAAAAATTGGAGAACCATCAAAATATTCAGAAGCAATTTCTAGTGCTGACTCAGCCAAGTGGCTGATTGCAATGAATAAAGAAATTGAGTCTCTCCACAAGAATGGTACTTGGTCTCTTGTGAAGCCGCCATCAGAAAAAAGAATTGTTGGTTGCAAATGGGTCTTCAAGAAAAAGGATGGCACTCCAGGGGTTGAAGATGTGAGGTATAAGGCACGATTAGTTGCTAAGGGCTATAGTCAGGTACAAGGAGTTGATTTTAATGATATTTTCTCACATATTGTTAAATATAACTCTATTCGTGTCTTGCTTGCCTTTGTTGCCATATATGATTTGAAATTAGAATAACTTAATGTTAGGACAGCTTTCTTACATGGAGAACTTGAGGAATAAATATGCATGCATCAACCCGAAGGATTTGAAGTTGAAGGAAAAGAAGATCATATTTGCTTGTTGAAGAAATCCTTATACGGATTAAAGCAGTCTCCAAGACAATGGTACCTTTCCTTTATGTTGGGTCATGGTTATTCGAGGAGCATGTATGATAGTTGTGTTTACTTCCGGAAGTTAAATGATGGTTCATTTGTGTACTTATTACTTTATATTGATGACATGCTCATTGTTGCTAAGGATTTAACAGAAATTCACAATTTAAAAAGTCAGCTGAAAAGTGAATTTGAGATGAAAGATTTGGGAGCAGCTAAGAAAATCCTTGGCATGGAGATCGAAAACCCAACAGGCTATTCCTGGCCCAGAAGAAGTACTTGGAGAAAGTCTTGGAGAGATTTGGCATGAAAGATGCTAAACCAGTTAGTACCCCTCTTGCTGCTCATTTTAAGTTATCAGTTGCTCAGTCCCCGCAGTCAGAGGAAGAAGATAGGTACATGGAACATGTTCATTATTCCAGTACAGCCGACAGTATTATGTATGCAATGGTTTGTACACGTCCAGACATTTCACAAGTAGTAAGCGTGGTAAGTCGGTATATGACTTGCCCTGGTAAAGCACATTGGCAGGCTGTGAAATGGATTCTCATATACTTGCGAGGTACTTCAAACACACGTTTGGGGTTTGGGAGAAATACTAACACTTTGGTTGGTTTTGTAGACTCGGATTATGCATGTGATCTTGACAAAAGAAGATCACTGTCAGGCTATATATTTTGCATTGGTGGTTGCGCTATTAGTTGGAAAGTTATATTACAATATATAGTAGCTTTATCTACTACCGAAGCAGAATATATAGCAGTGATCGAGGCAATCAAAGAAGCCTTATGGTTGAAGGGTCTATTTGCAGAACTCAGTTCATACCAAGGTGGTCTTACCATTTTCTATGATAGTCAAAGTGCCATTCACTTGACTAAAGATCAGATGTATCATGAGAGGACGAAGCACATTGATATAAAGTATCATTTCATCCGAGAAACTATTGTTGAAGGAAAAGTCTCTGTTCAAAAGATCAACACTAGAGATAATCCTCCTGACATGTTCACAAAACCTCTTCCAGTGTCCAAGTTCAAGCTTTGCCTGAACTTGATTGGCATTTATGAAGAATGATTTTGCCCATTGGGGTTTTTGCGGAGAAGGTGGAGTAAATTTACTATAAATAAGCCGAAATTAGGCCAAGGTGAAAATTTGTAATATGACCATTAATTTGGCTTCTTCTCAAGTGGGGGCCAAATTTTCATGACATTTGTCATGACATAATATCCACTATAACAAAATTTGTGGACCATGACATTTGCCATGACATAATATCCACTATTAGGCTAAGAATTTTTTGCTATAAATAGAGGAGCTTCTCCTCATTTGAAAACACACCAATTCAAGAGCTTTTCACTCTTGTCTTTCTTTCTCTTCATTTAATTCATTATAGAGTATTTTATAAGAGAGTGAGTGTTGGGAAACACTTGTGTGAACCCTTTCTTTGGAGTGATCTTGTGAGATTATTCTCTTGGGGTATTTGGAACTAATTAGAGTATTTGCTCTAATTTTGTACTCTCTTTTGTACTCTTGTTGGTATAGTGAAATTGCTTCTCTCCGCTTGTGGACGTAGGTCATCTTGACCGAACTACGTTAAATTTGTGTCTTCTTTATCTTCTTTAATTGTCATTATTATTAACTTGCATTGTCTTTGTCATTGTCATTATAATATTGTTTGGCTAAATTTCGCACTACCCGATTAACGATCTTAACAATATTTATATTTATTCTTACAATATTAAAAATTATAATCTTTGAGTTCCTTCCTTTACCTCAAATATTTTCTGTACATCAGATATTAATATTTCAATAATTCAAATGAAAAATTGGATAAGCAATTTACAGTGATATATACAAAATAATAGAAATATTAAAGGGGCACAAAGATAAATTATTTAATTTAAAACAATAAGACTTTACATTGCATATTAGTTTTTGCGTGTCGACATTGATCAATTTGAAACTTATCTTATCTCGAGAAGCTATAAAAAGTGGTGACTGTTAATGAACTGCAATTTGCTTCTTTTGACCATGCAGAAAGTTCCCACTTATAGATTACTAGAAAATTCATCTCCGCTTCGCGCGGTAATAAAAAACATTTTATCTTATAAGCATAAAAATTATAAATTTACTGGAAAATAAACTAATAAATAAAAATTAACGTTAATAAGTAAAATAAATGAATAGGAATTAATCATCGCATTTAAGTAGCCTAAGAGCATTTATTTCTAGCAAAAAAGTGAGATTTTACGATATATATATATATATATATATATATGCGTCAAATGTACGGCTAACTTGCCAATAAGCAAGGAAATGAGATTGTTATTGTTTTACAATATAAATGCGTAAAAGTTGAACTAACATGCTAATTAGCAGGAAAAGTATACATCTATTACGGAAAAGAAATACAGAGAGAAGGAAAAATAAGAGGAAAATAATTAGTAGCATAACATAATGAAATTTAAGATAAAGAATAAATATTTAAAAAAAAGTGTAAACGAAATAGGTTGGATGGGAAGTGTAACCAACCTTGTTCTTGTTTTCATATATGAAACCCATCAGAATAGAAATTGGATTATTCAATATCATTCAAAGAATTAACTTATCGGAATGAAAAGATAATCACAATACCTCTTTAGTCTGGCCAAAAGCAAAGCCGAGATGTCACTCGCGTTTTTCATCTTCCTAATGCGAGAGAGATCACAATTGGCAGGAATAAAATATATAAAAAGAAAGATGCAGGTTATAACACATTATACGATTGGGGCTTATGGACTTGAAAAGTCATAATCCCCATAAAGAGGTGTGACCTATGGGTTTGGACTTTTTAAAATAGGATAAATGGAAAAAGTAAAAGGAAAAAAATAAATAAAAGGAGGGAAAAAATAAATAGGATTTCTACACCACAGAAGATACCACATCACCTCTCTTAAATAAAGATTAGATTTTTACATATGTTTGTCCTAGTTTCATATATATAGATTTTTGGGGCTGGGTGAAAATGAAGAAAATGATATTTCTTCAACAGGGTAAAGAGATGGGGGTTAACCCTTCGTTGGCAGAAAGAGAAGTAAGAAAGGAAGGGCAATTAATGAAATTTAAGTGGAAATATGCGACGTTCCAGTTTCTATTTTGTTGGTGTAAATGCGTGACTTTTCAGGTTTATTTTTCAGAGCACCTAAATTGGAAAATATCAAGGAAAACTAAAAAAATTGAGGAAAAAGATAAACCCAAATCCTTGCTTTTTTGGGTGTAAAAATACCATATTTTTGAATATTAGGAATGATTATACTAAGTGAACACACACACTCACTCTCTCTCTCTCTCTCTCTCTCTCTCTCTCTCTATAATATATATATATATAGATAGATAGATAGATAATAAGCGTATCTGAATGCTAGGAGGAATAGGTTAAAAATAGTACTAAGATTTTTTAGAATTTTTCAGATAATAGGCGTATACGATAGATAATAGGATTGTTGATTTGGTTATTTAAGGAAGAATAATGATTTCTGGTTTACAGAAGAATTAAAGAGTGAAATATTAGAAAATAAATTAAACAAGAAAAAAAATTAAAAAAATGTATTCTAGATACAACTTATACTATATTTTGTTAAACATTTAAATGTCTAACCTTTATTTTTAACTTCTAATTACTTTTATAAAGAGATGTGTGAGAGAGAGGATGAGGGGGGTATAATTAAGATTATTTAAAAAGTGATTTTGGACTTTTTTATATAGCACAAAATATAATATACGAAAAAAATGATCAAGAGAGAAAAATGACTTAATTAGTAATAGGAGAAAGGGGAATTGACTTAGATTATTTAAGGAAGGATGTGGAGAAATTGAATGATATGAGTATGAGAAAAAAGGAAGAAGAAAATTAAAAAGGAAAGCAAGGTGAAAAAAAATGAAAAGAAGCTTAGGAAAGGTCGGAACGGGGAGATAATATTGGAATGAATTAAAATAAATATAAGGTGTACATGAAGAAAATTATCAAAACAAAAAATGATAGGAAAAAAGGGATGGATTATTAAATGTTTAATTAGTAAAGATTAATTTTCTTTATAAAAGTAATGATATTAAAATTTAACTTTATATTAATTCTTTTCACGACCACAATGGAAAATTACCCATAAACTTTCTCATTAAAATACAGAGAATAGTGATTTGTCTCAATTGTCACGTTTCCAAATTTATCAAAGGGCTGCGCATTTGCGTTCGTCCATTTCTTTTCTGTGGAAAATTAGGAAAGAAAGAATGGGAAAGAGGGTAGGGAGAGGTGGAAGAAGGGACGATTTGCCGTCGCCGTCGATCTTGAGTCGATCTGTAGACTCCGTATTCGATTTCGTCCGTTTTGCTGAGTTCGAGATCCTCTTCGTCCTCTTCTTCGTTGTAGCTTTTGTCATTTTCAAGGATCTGGTTAGCCTTCTTTCCCTTTATTACCACTTCTTTTTTGTGCTTTTTATTTGCTACTGATAAGTCTCTTTTTGAAGCCGGGAGGGGTAATTTTGATTGTTGTGACTCACTGACTTGTGATTTGTGGTAAGTGTTTAACCCAAAAATAGTTTCAGGAATAAGCAATTAAATTTATTTTTAAGAGGTCACTAGCAACAGGTTCGAATCAAAGTCTGATAGAATGAAGCAAGAGATTAAACTAAAAAACGCTGTGTATGAAGTAACGAAAGTAAGCAAGAATAAGTAAGAATGATCTTATTGATTTCAGCCGTAAGCCACAGTGCTTGCAAAGTGAAAAGGGATTGCCAGATGATAGTACAATAATCTTTTTTTAAGAGTGAGTACAGTGAATTCTCATGGATGTTACTAGCAAATAGAATAGGGGTATTTATAGCCTAAACCTAACGCTAACATGATCATCCCCACTTCCACACGCCGCTCCAAGTGGTTAGCAGATTCCGAGATCCTCGCCGGTTGTGGGTAATGAATTCGGCATAATGGGCGCAGATGAATCCCTGATATTTCGGGACCCGTTGAGGACCAATTCAAGCCCCGGGCCACAACCTTATTGATAGATCCCCGGAGCCGTCTTAGAAGCGATCCTCCATGACCCGATGCTTGCCTCCCTGTGAGTGAGTCACCGAACCACGCATATTTTCTATGCAGGTCGAACTTTGTGGCCATCTCATTCCTGGAATAAGATGTTGTGTCATCACGCGATCTGTCCACGTGTCAGTGTCGATTTTTACCAATACCATATGGATCTGCCAAGGTAAGATTACAAATGACCCAAAAGTATATCAGAGGGTAAAATCAAGATATTTCCATAGTAGAGCTGTAAATTTGGAATTTTTTCCCTCTACATTGATAGCAAAATAGCGTAATGAATGGTTTCAGATCCCAGCTGTAACTCAGTGTGAGCACTCGGCTCCAACTTTGATGCTTAGATTTACCCGCCACCTATGATGCAGGCACTGCCTGGTCGATTACTCATGTGCCTAAGCTGGCACAGATGTAATTGTCATTCATAAATTAAAAAAAGGGCGTAAAATAGTAGGATGGAAAACCCAAGCTATATGCCAGTGCTTCCTCTTGTTAAAAATACCATGCCAATTTGCAATTTTTCTTCTTTGAAGCGCCAACAATTTTAGCAATCAAAGCATCAGTTGGTTGTTGTTGTGGTGGTTGTGGGGGGGGGGGGGGGACTGTTTCTTGTATTGTTTTCTAGACAGAACAAAATAGATAGTAGGAGCAAGTGTGAGCTTCCTGAGCCAAGGTAATAAAGTTCTCTCCTTTAGAGATTTGCAGGCACCTGTTTAACTTTCTAGATCCTAAGACTCTAAATTTCTCTAGATTGGATAATCCTAGGCATGTATTTGCACAAATGCTTCAGATCAGGGCATAAGAAGGATAAGTGAAGCAGATTAAGAAGCATTACAGAGTTCACGAAACCATGTTGAATGAATCCATGATTACTGTAAAGTTATAGCCTTTGGGCCTAACTCAACCCAAAAGTAGAGGACGATTGTCTAAGACCATATAAGGAAACCACAACCAATTACCTCAACCAATGTGGACTTGACAACCCCCCCCCCCCCA